TTGGACCTGCAAACAACATGATTATTTTGAGGTAACAGGGCAGGAGGAATTCCCAGAAAACAACGACAATTCCGACGTCGATGACGGCGATTTTCCAGTATATGCTATGGCTGAAATCTTCAGCCCTCAGACGATGAGGCTCTGTGGAGTGATTGAGGGGTGCACGGTGACGGTATTGATAGATAGTGGCGCCAGTCACAATTTTGTCTCATCTTCATTAGTGTCACTACTCCGACTGAACCCGGACAAGACCGGGAAATTCGGGGTCCAGTTGGGGGATGGGCATAGGCAAGAATCAGAAGGGGTGTGCCGGCAGCTTGTTGTGACTTTACCAGAATGCGCAGTTAAAACGGACTGTTTTGTGTTTTCATTGGCCGGGGTTGATCTTATATTAGGAGTTGCTTGGTTAGCCACATTGGGAGAAGTTCGAACCAACTGGAAAAATTTAACAATGCGATTCAAGCTTGATGGTAGACATATAGAGCTAAGGGGCGATCCAGCAATGTGCAGAAACGCAGTCAGCCTACGCACACTACTTAAGACCACGGACATCGAGTTTTGTGCCATTGTTCTAGTCAGTGAGCCTGCCAGACTGTCTGGAGCAGCTGCTGGTACTGTGGAGGATATTCTCGGGCAGCATACCGAGGTATTCGAGGAACCGCGGGGACTGCCACCTCACCGCGCCACGGACCACCACATTGAGTTAATTCCTGGGACACAGCCCGAGTCAGTTTGACCGTACCGGTATGGTCATTTGCAGAAGGATGAGATCGAGAGACTTGTGGACGAAATGCTTCAGGCAGGCATCATTCAACCAAGTTCTAGCCCATTCTCAAGCCCGGTTTTGTTGGTCAAGAAGAAGGATGGCAGCTGGCGATTTTGTGTGGATTACAGGGAGCTAAACAAATCTACGATACCAGATAAATACCCAATTCCGGTGATACAGGAGATGTTAGACGAGCTGGCGGGGTGATGGTTTTCTCCAAAATAGACCTACGCTCTGGGTACCATCAGATCAGGGTGGCTGGTCCTGACGTACATAAGACTTCTTTTCGTACTCACATTGGGCATTATGAATTTTTTGTGATGCCGTTCGGACTTACAAACGCCCCAGCTACCTTCCAGGCAGCCATGAATGACTTGTTCAGACCCTACTTGCGGAAATTTGTGCTGGTATTTTTTGATGATATTTTAGTATACAACAAATCTTGGGCGGAACATCGAGGTCAGCTGGAATTACTCCTAAGCCTCCTAGAGAAGAATCAGTTCAGAGCCAACATGAAGAATGCGCATTCGGGCGACCACATGTTGAGTACTTGGCACATTATTTCTCAAGAAGGGGTAGCCATGGATCCGGCTAAAGTTAGCGCAGTGATGGATTGGCCGTCACCGAATTCTGTTCGTGAGGTTCGTGGATTTTTAGGACTGACTGGATACCATAGGAGGTTTGTGAAAGAATATGGGTTGATTGCACGACCACTCACGAATCTTCTGAAAAAGGAGGCATTGGCTCAGTTTTATTGGTCCCCAGAGGCCGAGGGGGCATTTAGACAGCTCAAGAAGGCCTTAACGGAAGCACCGGTGTTAGCCATGCCCCAATTTGACCGTCAATTTGTGGTGGAATGTGACACATCTAGAACTGGGATCAGAGCAGTACTTATGCAAGAGCGGACAGAACCCTTTCCAGATCAGCCTACGAGCGAGAGATGATGGGGTTAGCATTAGCCGTGCAGCATTGGCGGCCATATTTAATCAGGCGAAAATTCGTGGTGCGCACAGATCATCGCAGCCTCAAGCATCTGCTCACTCAGCGCATAGCGACCCCTTCCGAGCAGATCTGAGTTGCAAAATTATTGAGTTATGATTTTGAGATTGAATACAAGACAGGGGTTTCTAATACGGCTGCAGACGCTCTATCTCGAAAAGGGGAAGTAATGGATCTAGCCGCGGTCAGCATGCCGGAGTGGTTGGGACTAGCTGACACAGAAGAGGAGCAAAAGAAAAATAAATTTTTACAAGAAATTATACAGGCATTGGCAAACAATCCAGCTAATGAACCAGGTTATGAAGTAATTGGGAGGCGGCTGTTCTACAAGGGCCGATTGGCCCTGGCTTTGGACTCTAAATGGATTCCTCGCCTATTGGAGGAATTCCACGACACGCCAACAGGAGGTCACGCTGGTGCACACAGGACATACAGAAGGCTAGCGATGAACGTGTTTTGGAAGGGAATGTTCCGCCAGGTACGAGCTTATGTTGCTCAATGTTTGGTTTGTCAAAAGGCCAAATATGAGGCAATGTCGCCTGCTGGACTGCTGCAGCCTTTACCTATTCCCAGCTTGATTTGGGAAGATATTTCCATGGATTTCATCACTTGCTTGCCTAAGTCGAAGGGGTACACATCCATTTTAGTGGTGGTAGACTGATTGTCCAAGTATGGGCATTTTATTGCCCTAAAAACTCTGATCACAGCACGATTAGTGGCTGAAGCCTTCTCCAGAGAAGTAGTCAGGTTACATGGCATTCCACGTTCAATTGTGAGTGACCGGGACTCCCTGTAAATAAGTGCATTCTGGAAGGAGCTATTTTTCTTGTCTGGTACGCATTTAAAATTTAGTTCAGCTTATCACCCGGAGACAGATGGACAGACAGAAGTGCTGAATCGTGTGTTAGAGACATATTTGCGTTGTTTCACTTGTGAGCAGCCGCGGCAGTGGGTACATTGGCTGTCGTGGGCTGAATATTGGTATAATACTGCGTTCCAGATGGCAGCAAGAATTTCACCGTTTGAGGTGGTTTACGGCCGGCCCCCACCCACTATTCGCCAATTTCTACCAGGAGAGAGCATGGTGGCAGCAGTGACAGAAGTGCTGGGCAGCAGGGATGTCATGTTAAAGAGACTGAAAGAAAGTTTACAGAAAGCCCAGCAGTGCATGGTGACTCAAGCTAATAAGCACCGTCGCGACGTGGAATTTCAGGTTGGAGATAAAGTGTTTTTGAAGGTGATACCTCACCGCCAGACTTCTCTATTCCGGCAGTCTTACAATAAGCTATCCACCAAATTCTATGGGCCATTTTTTATTGAAGCAAGGATTGGGCCGACAGCCTATCGTCTAGCGCTACCATCCAGCAGCCGTATCCACCCAGTTTTTCATGTATCTCAGTTGCGGAAGATGGTAGGTGATCATCCGATAAAGAATGAGTTGCCAGAAAGTTTGGAACTATCAATAGGCCCACTGTTTGAGCCTGAAGAGATATTAGCTAGCAGAAAGAAAAATGACGAGGAAGAGCTTCTGGTCAGATGGGTAGGGCAGTCGATTGACGATGCTACATGGATGGATAAAGCAAGTTTTGTGGGTCAATTTCCAGATTTCAACCTTGAGGACAAGGTTCTTTCAAAGGAGGATGAAGTTGATAGAGAGCAGGCGGAGCCGACTGAGGCAGAGCAGGGCCCGAGGCCCTTGTTGGTCTACCGAAGGCAGGGACGGGCTGGAGCCCACCTCCGTGGGCTGGATATTTAATTGGCTTGAATTAATTACCTAGTTATTTTCTTCTATTATGTTTCCTATTTTAATTAAGTTTCCTAGTATGATTTAATTAGGAGTTCTACCTTAATTAGAATGAGTAGGCTATTTATACCCCTTAAGAGGGTTATTAGAACTATCGATTATTATTGGAATAAATTGGTTTTTGAGCTTCAAGCTTGGGCAACGGTTGTTACCGTTGATTGTTATTTTCTGCTCACATCAGTGCCCGAAACTCGTAATTTTCACATTCCCGTTTTGAGAGTTTTCGTAAATAAAAACAATTGGGAAACCTGTTTAACTAATTGATTAGTGTTTTACAAACTTTGAGTTTCCTACTTTGATTTCCAACGAGATATAAAACGCTTGAAACAAAACAAAATAGAGAAATATATGATCAACTCAAATATGTTTAATTGTTGAATAATACACACCCATCCTTTAATATTTTGTTATTGAAGTGTGAATATGAGTTTTAGAACTCAATAAGATCTTTGTAACGAGCTATAAAACCCTTGAAACAGAATGAAGTACAACAAGATATGATCAAATCAAATACCAAACAAGTTCATATGAAGTATAAAAACATCCCACGACCCGCGTTTAGGAAACTTAGAAATGCTGCAACTTCAAATTCCCGTTTTGGGCTTGTTTCCATAATAAAAAAGAATTGGGAAACCCATTTCCCTAAATAATTAGCTTTCCAAAAATTTCAGGTTTCCATTTTTTATGAGACTTCTTGTTGAGAAACATTGTCTTTTAAAAACATTTTAGTGAATATTTATGAGATTTCTTTCTTAGCAACATTTTGACATTTCACAAGGCAATGCATTGCTGAAAATGTATTGCAATTTATGTTTAAATATGTAATAATATGTAATAATTTGTAAATGGGAACATGTAAACTATATTTATGCTGGGTAGGCCAACAAAGTTATACTACGTATAAAAAATATATGTATATGTATATGAAAATATTTATAAATAGTAGTATTTCGTATCCCTTTTCCATCATTTGCAATGGAAGCAAAGATTCACTATTTTTTGGCTTTGAAATATGACGGAATAAAGCAAAATGGCTTAAACTGTCTACACTTCTTTGTTATGAAGCAACATTCAGTTCATGCAATTTTCGACGCGATTTTCACCATGGGTTATCCAGAAACAGTCTCTCAATGCTTTAGTATAAGACTGCGTACATTTGACCCCCTTACCCCACCGTAGGTAGGAGCCTTTGCGGAACAGGGGTAATGATGATGATGAGTAGTATTTCATATCCTGTACTTTTTATATCTCATTTTGCTTTTCCAGTTTCTTGTTTTCATGCTACTTGAATTTACACGTTTTTCTAATGTTTCTTATCCTATGTTTTTATTTGTGTTTCCGTGCTACTTAGAAAGTAGGTTTCCTTTATTGATCACTTGGGTGTGGCCTTGTCTCATATCTTTTTTCATGTCACATGATACTTTTTTCTAGGTTCACATGCAATGCAGCCCCAAGTTAATAACCAAGCTCAGCCACTTTCTGTTACAATGGTGAGCAATCAATCACAAGCCCGTCAGCAACTACTATCACAAAATATTCAGAACACTATCACATCATCTGGAGCGCTTCCTAGTGCAGGCAGCTTGACTCAGACTAACATGACAAATGCAGTAGGTCAAAATTCGAATTTGCAAAATGTACAAGGCATACCAGCTGCTGCTCAAAGTTCAGTTGGAAACACCATGGGCCATTCAAATGTGGTTGCGAATTCTATCAGACAGATGCAAGAGAGGCAGCAGCAGGTTGTTTCGCAGCAGCAACAACAATCTCAGGCCTCTAATACACATCTTTACCAACATCAGCTACGCCAACAAATGTTGAAAAAGAAGTTCCAATCTCAAGTACAGCAGCAACATGAGCAACAACAGCCAAATTTACTAGCTTATCTTTTTATCTTTATTTTCTTTCTTTTCCTTTTGGTGGTGATATCATGTATGAATTCATGTTAGCCGACTCCAATATCTTTTGGGACTAAGGTCTTGGATGTTGTTGTTGTATACTAGCGAAATTTCAGCCTCCTTTCCATCAAGCTTGAAACGTAATTCGAATCTCAATCCTCAGAAAAATCGCTGCCTCGAACGAATTTAATTGGGGTAGCATTTGGGGATTTACTTCCCCAATTTGAAGACCCAAAAATAATATCTGCCCAGGCCGTCTATAAAGAGAGCAGCGCAGCAGATAAAGGGGGAGAACGGAGGTGAAAACAGGGGAGAAAGAGAGGAATTCAGCCGCTTCATCGATCATCTTCGGTTTTTCATTCTATATTAATTAATTAGGTTAATTTCAGAATTTCTAGTTTCTGCATTTCAATTTCAGAACTTTTACTTTCATGTTTATGCTTTTGAAGAGCAATTTCTTCCCAACTTTAAGTATGATTTTTGGCTAAACTTTAACGTGAGGGATTCGGGGATTAAAGCTTGATATTAAGTGTTTATCTCTTGTGCTTGGTTCTACCATTGTAATCGACATATTATATTTCCAATTAAATTTATTTTATGAATTTCATTAATGAATTTTGCATTGAGTTCGTGCTTAATGCTTGTTAGGTATCGTGTGATGCACCAACGGGTGAAGCATGATACGTGAGCCCGTAAAATAAACATGATTTACCTAACTAGACATAGTTAGCAAATTGTGGTGAATTTCAAATGTCTCTTTTCGAATAGTTAAGTTTAGTGTTTAATTGACGGATTCACACTAGCTTAACTGGTACACGCTAATATCTCAACGGAGTATTAGTATATTTTAGAACCAATTGTCACTTTAATTGCTTGAACCAACACTTAGATTTTCTATTAATATCAATTGTATAACCTGAATCTTGAGGGCCGTTTTTGTCTATTGTTTACTTGATTTGTTCTTAATTCTGTTTTTACTTCCTGCTTTTTATTATCCAATCGAATCAAAACCAGTTTTTACTTTGGTTGATAGAAACTTAAACCATGAAAGTGCAATTTGCGCTTCTCGTGGGATCGACCCTAGAATACTCTAGGTTTTACTACGACCGATCTGTACACTTGCAGAAAATAGCGGTCAATTCGCCCCATCTTTTTCAAGGCTAGCACTCCCCACCTTCGAGTGACGCCAGAAGCTGTCAGGAGGAGGACCGGGGAATGGATTTTCACCCATCCTTATGTAGCAGAAACGGTCTTTCCAACCCTTATGCGATGAGGGGACTTTCGAGAATAGTTTCCACTATGGCACCTGTTGCAAGTTGGCAAATCCCTCGCTGTTGGCATGCCCTCCTCGGCATAAGTTGTAACACAAGAAGAACTAGTCGAGGGTGGGTTCCACACCCCAGGTCTGGCACATGTACAAGAACCTGACAAGGTACGAATGGTTGTTCGGCGTGAGCTGGCAGGGGGCAAGACCCACAAATCTATGATACTCCAGCACAAAGGAATGCAGGGGGAACCGGAGGCCCAAAGCAACCGAGAGGATATGTACTACAAAACATCCTTAGGGGGGAGATAGAACATCATCAGGACCGAGCTCTACAACAAGTGCGGAGAGGCCAGAGTATAACAGGGTCACATGATAATCAGCATCATCAGCCTTGGTCTTCCGCACAAGGGCGGCTGTGTTCAAGTAGGAGTGGCCTTCGGGTATCCCAACGGGCTGCCCAACATCTACGGCAGCCTGCTTACACCTCAGTGGTTTTTTAGCCTGTATCTTCTTCACTAGCGCAACCCGGAGGGGATCTGGGCAGAGCGGTTCAGATGTGTCAACTTCCGCAACACGCACAGAAGGGACGATGACAGTCACCCGAAGGCGCTCTTTCTCCTCTTCCACTTCGGCCAGTTCTTCATCTTCCACCTGCTGCTCGAAGTCCTCGGCTTTGTCCTCTATCCTAAGGTGACTCTCAACCTCCTTGGCAGTTCTGAATCCGCCTGCGAAGATGGCAGATAGCTCGAAGACCTTTCCTCCATCCACGTCTCCGACTGGGCCGAAGGCAACATAGAGATGTTTGGGAGTCGCTCTCGGAAGACATACTCTCGGCTAGTTTATCGAGGGCGAAGATGCTAAATGGAACTATTGGGAGAGCTAACACTAGATCTAAAGCAAGGAAGCAAAATATATGGCAAGGGCAAGAACGGGAAAAGAACTGACCTTGGAACTTTGTTTAAATCGGCTAAGTACTTCCTCTCTCTGAAAATTGGTTGAGCTTCGCTTCACAACACAAAAAACGCGCACGAAAAATGACACCATTCAATGGGTATTTATAACTGTCCCAACTAGGGTTAAACACGGAACCTGGGCCTCTGGTCAAAAGCCCATCATTACGAACCGTTGCTTCAGCCCAATCAGGGAACACCGCCCAACAAGCGCCTATTTCCGTGCGACACGTGTAGATCCTCTCCAACGGTAACATTCCATCGGTCACCTCACAGAACCCGCAGGCCCCAACAGACATCCCACACCGGCCACGAGAATACACGACCCTCTAGTTATCACATTTGCAAACACCCCTTCACCCCGGATAAGCGTTCGGCCTAAAGGAGTGGAGGACTAGGGGACTCCCCTCGGTAAGAAGTGGAAAACACCAAAATATCACAAAAATCAACAACAACATGATAGCCTTCGGCAAATTCATGGAACTACTCCCCTTTTCCTCGAGAAGCTCTCACAAAGGGAGTGGGGGACTCCTGATGGAGTATATAGCCCGGGAACCCTCGACCCACATACTTCTGCTACTTCAAATAGGCCCAACGGACATAAACGACCCAAATCCCGCAGCCCAAGTATGATGCAACTCGCATCCCACAAGGGACCGCCCTCGGCACCAGGGCCGAAGGACTCAAACTGAGGGATGTCACCCCGTTTTTGGCCCAACAACGCACTTGGAAACTTCGCCTCATCACACCAGCCTTCGGTCATACAGCCCTCGGCCCCAATACCGAAGGCCCTCGATCTTGACATAAGCTCCTCTCTGTCCGGCATCCAACCACCACATTTAATGTTGTGCCACGTGCCAACACTCACATAACCGGGGGCTCTCCGCCATAGACTAGCTTACACGTGTATGTGCATTTAATGCACCTAACATTTATGATTAGTATAAATAACGCCCCATTGGGCAGTTGTAATGGACGATTGATTATTTATTGCTACCACACTTTCTCTCTCTTACTTATTGCTTTGACTTCTCTCTAGATACCACTAGCGGTATCCCAATATAGACTATCCATCATAAACGTTTGTTGACGTAGTTCGCAGGGAGGCACCAATCAAAGAAACACTTCTCTCACCTTCTAACCGTCAGGCAGCAGAAGGAAGAGCCCCTTCAGGAATTCCTAGACCGTTGGAGGCTGGAAACGAACAAAGTTGATGGAGGTACCCCTCGACCAGGAAATGTTAAGATCAACACAATTGTTAATGGAGGGACATTTTTGACTTTTCACAATGGTTGAGGTGCAAATACAAAAGTTTTTAAAAACGAGTTACAAAGTCCAATTTGAACAATAAAATGAGACCCCTGAGGGGGATCCCACCAATTAGCTTCCTTACGCCTTACGGGTTTTCTTGCCCGTTGACTCGCACACATGTCAGACTCCTTGGTCCGTGTTTCAAGATGGGTCAAATGGAGAGCCCACAGGCCTTATTATCCTTGATTAATTATTTATCCTTTTCTTTTTCCTCTTCTTGTTATCTCCTTTTCCTTAATCCGTATGACCCGTATGACCCGTATGACCCGTAGGCGATCATCCACAAAAGCACCTTGGGCATGATCAATTAATCTCGGAAGACATGGAATTAATCTAGCCGCAAGTACTTTAGTAATGATTTTATAAAGGACGAAAAAACGGGGGTTTGTTGTTCATCATGGTCGCACCCAAAAGCACAACCACAACGTCATCTAATTAGTGACGCACATGAATGGATTAACGAGATTCCCACTGTCCCTTGGAATCGGTACAATCTAAATCCCTTAACGAGGATCCATTGGAGGGCAAGTCTGATGCCAGCAACCGCGGTAATTCCAGCTCCAATAGCGTAGTGGGTGACATTATGCATGTTAACTCTCCAATTCTGTCATGTGCTCGTCCTCGTTTGAATGCGACGATGTGTGCGAGATGGACGCGAAACGCCTATTTGTGTTCGGTCCAACCTTTGGCTTTGAGACAAGCATATGACTACTGGCAGGATCAACCAGTATTTGAATGATGCGTCGCCGGCACTATGGCCATGCGATCCGTCAAGTTATCATGAATCATCGCAGCAACGGGCACCCTTTGTGGGATCTAGGTTAGCGCACAGTTGGGCACCGTAACCCGGCTTCCGGTTCATCCCGCATCGCCAGTTCTGCTTACCAAAAATGGCCCACTTGGAGGTCTACCGAATCCAAGAGCCATGCACAACTACTCGTATGCCCAGATCGCAACCAAAGGCTGGACCGAGCACAAATAGGCGTTTGGCGTCCATCTCGCACACATCACTAAGCATATAGCCTTGGCCGATAGGTGGACGCTTTATCTAATTTCCCTTGTCATATGCTTAGTGATGTGTGCGAGATGGACGCCAAACGCCTATTTGTGCTCGGTCCAACCTTTGGTTGCGATCTGGAGATACGAGTAGTTGTGCATGGCTCTTGGATTAGAGGAAATTAGAGTGCTCAAATCAATTAACCTTATGGGTTAGTCGATCCAAAGGTTGAACAAACGACGATTTTCTGGGCCGCACGCGCGCTACACTGATTTATTCAACGAGCATATAGCCTTGGCCGATAGGCCCGTGTAATCTTTGAAATTTCTTCGTGATAGGGATAGATCATTGCAATTGTTGGTCTTAGCCAATGATTAGGCAATGAAATTTCTCCGTGATGGGGATCGACCTATTCTCAAACTTTAAATAGGTAGGAGGATACGACTTTTTGTTGAGCAGTACCACGGAATCAACAGCTGCAAACTAAGTCCAATTCTAGAATTTTATTCCCTTAGTCTATTGACCATAAGCCTGGGAGAGTTTTCGTGTTTATCATTAACCCAAAGCTGTAGGAAAAAGTTGACATGGATGCCAACAGTTGGAGAGCGGCGCAACCTCTTTCTCAGGCTCAGGGTGGTGACGCCACTGGCATAGCAGCTGGGCCGGCTGCACCAGCACCGGCTTCAGGAGCCTTGGAGACGGGCGATTGGCGGGCCCAACTTCAACCGGATTCCAGGCAAAGGATCGTTAACAAGATGTAAATTTCTTACCAAATCTATTTGGGAGCTTGGCGCGTATATGTCTATCAATACGAATCGGAAACCAATTCTAGAATTTAACTTTCTTAAAAACCTTAATTTACCCGATCTTACTATCCGCTAGTATCCCAATTCCCAACAACATAGCTACTTTTTAGATGATTCATCACCTTAATAGCTAGACTTTTGATTTTTTATGGCGTTGCGAGCTAACAATCGCTATGGGCTTTACAACCCACATTTATTGCGTTTTTCTGTCAATCCATACACAATACAACGCCCCACCTGAAACATTAGTCT